ATCTCTTTTCGAACACGTTTCGTTCTTCAGAGTATAATCCTTCTTATCAGAGTTACTCGTCCGGAAACTACAATAACAATTCAAGTCAAGGTTATAGCAGTTATGGCGCTGGTGGATTTATGACTCCAGGTGGCGAAGGTCCAGTTTCACGGCGAGATTCAGAGGGAAGGGTAAATAACAACTACAGTAATAAGAGAACAAAATAACTTTCCTATGTTCTTTCAGAGTTTATGGATTACGTTTTTATAGTCTTCCGACCGTGGTGCGAAAACAGTTCGTTCCGTCACAATTAGGCAGCTCTTGAACTGTGACTCCAGTCATTCTGATGGTGAACAACTGCTTGATGGAAAACCACTTAGCCTTGTAAGCTTTCGTAGCAAAGTACCATATGACTTACACCCGATATCTGAATCTTACGCGAAGTCGCTTTTCGGAAACAGGTCACATTTGTCGCAAAAGTACATAACATTTCTCCAAAAAGTGCTTTAGTTGACATTACCGTTGAGGATGGTACTGGTTTTATTGAAGTGAAGCTTTTCTCTAATAACGATAATTTAAACGAAGAACAGGAAAGGATCATGAATGTTCCCAGTGATATTAAGTAATTATAGCTTATGTTTTGCTTGAATACTAGTTAACATCTCTTTTGCTCGAATAATAATAACATTACTTATTTAGAATTAACAGCTATATAAGGGCATCCGGGACTCTGAAAGAATTTAAATCTATTAAAAGTTTTATTGCATATTCCATCAGGCCGATAACTGATCACAACGAGATTAGTTACCACTTTATTGAAGTTATTCATACTCACCTTTCATTAATTAAGGGCAATAACAATCGAATGGTATATCACGAGTTTTATTCTTGTTTGATCTTTTGTACAGACGAATGTTAAGTCTACTTCTTTATTAGTCCCAAGGTAGCGCTTCTACAATTACCGGCTCGGTATATGATCCTTCTCAGGTCAATAAAAACAACTCTAATACGGGAGCATTTACGAGCAAGCTCCACAAAGAGGTTTTTGATCTTGTCGCCCGAAACGCAGACAATGAAGTTGGAATGAAAATTGATGACATCTGTCGTGCGTTGGCTTTTCAATATGGATCTGATAATAATGTTAGGTAAGAAAGTTGATCTTGGTTTTTTTTATAATATATATTATAAAGAGCTAATCGTGTGATTATGTGTGAAATATTGTAAAAAGGAATGCGATTGATGATCTAGTTAGCGAAGGTCAACTTTATAATACTTCAGACGATAACCATGTTCAAGTCACTGGTGCAATGGTGTAATTTTACTAAAGGTGTTTACACATTTACTAACTAAAATCCATAAAAGTTGCTCTTATTGATTGGTGATCAAATACTTTTTATTAATTTAATAATTCTGACTGAAATAGAATAAACTAATTCCATATTTTTTACGCTAAAAAAAATAAAATCGGAGTTCCTTCGATTTGCTTTCCACGGTGAATTTTTGACCAAGTGAACATAAATTCTTATTTGACGTGTAAGCGAAAAATAAATATATTACAGTATATTAAAAAGAATATTGATTGTATTGTTATAAATACCAATGTTAAATATGGTGCATGTAGTGAATATTTTTTCTTTTAAAAGAAATATGTAGCTTAAAAAATTAATGTTATATATTATTGATAATTTTAAATTATTTTTCAACTGTATTTTATGTAAAAAAAAAAAAAAAATTTTTTTTTAAATATTAATTTTAATTCGTTACTATAAATATGCAGTATTTGTTATATTTTATCAGATTGACGGACAGATTAATTTAATTTACCAGATTTCCAGTACAATTACGTGATTGCCTAATTAATGTACGATTCCTGAGATTATCTTGTAGATTCAAACTTGACCATGGCTCTTCGTTCTTTATTTCTAAACCAAAAATCATTATTGCATTTTCCCGCAAGACATGTTTGTCGGGTAGTTGTCTTTCGATAATTAAATAAAATTTACTCATTCATGGCAGACAAGTCTCCTAAAATAACTATATATATTTTTCATGTATAAGTCAACATCCTGTCTATTATATTCGAACCAGAAAGCGCATAATTCTTACACCACTTCTGGAAACGAAGAATATTCTCTGTTTAATTTCGGCTTGGATTCTCGACTTCGTCCCAGAATACCGAGAAACACGGTCAGTTAATATCTTCTTTTTTGCGTTGAAAATTTCCACTAATTCTACTTTGAATTATTGCCTTCAGATTATCAATTTTGTCCCACAGCAGGAGGCATGGATCATAGAACGTTTTGGAAAGGTTTGGATTCCTTGTCGCTTCGCGTCTGACGAGCTATTATTACAGTTATTTAGTAATTTTTGGCAACAATTAGTTTGATCGATTGTTGCAGCCAGGTCTTGCATTTGTAATTCCTTTCCTTGAACGTATCAAGTATGTTAAAAGTTTAAAAGAAATTTGTTTAAATATTCCTGCACAAAGTGCTATCACACAAGGTTTGT